TCTGATCCATAGATGCCTTGATGATGAGATCGTGGACTTTTGCGAGGACTTGTGGGGAAGATGGGCCTGGATTAAAATTTGTATCAATCAACAAGATTGGGTAATTTTTATAGTCTATGCCCCCACAAGTTGTTTGGAGCGGGCAATTTTTTTTTATGATATCCCTCTGTTCACCCCAGATCCTGACTGTTGATTGGAATACCACCTTGAACAGACATGAGGCTCTAAGAGGTGGTAATGACGTTATTAAGCTTACCGAGTTAATGTCTGAGTTGGACCTGGTCGAACCTTTCAGTTTACTTCACCCTGGCGATCCAGGATATACATGGGTCTCCAATGTTCGCAAGGATAAATGTTGTATAAGGAGAAGACTGTATTTTTTTTTTCTCACTCCCGAAGCTTGGCTTGCTATAGTGAACGTAGGAGAACTCTCAACCTTATCTCGGACCATAAGCCTCTTGTCGCCTCTTTCACTCTGCAAGGGATCGATCGAGGGCCAGGATATTTTCGGGTAAATACCCGGATCTTGAAAGACTCAGGTATCATTTATTGGATGCACCGCTTCTGGTCAGATTGAAAAAATACGATCAACACCTTCGACTCCAAAGTAGCATGGTGGGAATCGGGTTCATGAATATTTTCGAAACACTTGAGTATTTTCTCAAGAATTCTTGCAGCAAAGAATAAGCAGTATGAAGACAGTGTAAGGAAAAAAGTGGAATATATTGAGCTCCACATGGGCTTACATCCCATATCTAACCTAGTATGGAATAACAAGAGGAAAAAACTAATGCCATATTGGGATATGTTCTAACAGAAACAATCAAACGCCTGGGCAGAGCGACTGAAAGTCAAGGGCATAGTGGTCTATGACCGCATGACCCGTGAATCCTTTCAAAAGCTACTGCCCAAACACCTGTCCCAACCCATGAGCGAGTTAATGCATCCGTTCGATCGGGGACAACCTCTAACCCATGACTGTACACAACTGACTTCCTATGCGGCTCTATATTACCAAGATATTCTCACTACCAAGAGACCGGATGGGGACATTACTAAGGACCTATCAGAAGGCTCTAACCATTGGGCTCTGTTCAAGGCTAGATTGCCTGAGTATGGCAGACTTGACATGGACCGACCGATAACCTCAGAAGAGGCCGGGGAAGTCCTTAGTTGAATGGCACATGGCAAAGCACCGGGAGACGATGGCCTCCCTATGGAGGTTTACTTGGCAATTTGAGACTCGATTAAAGAAGAGTTGGTGGATCTATACAACCAGATCCTCGTGGGAGGGGAACTATCAAAGGGCATGCGAAACGAAAGAATATTGTTATTATATAAGAAAGGGGATCATTCAGAGATCAGGAACTGGAGACCTATTTTTGTACTTAACGTGTCGTATAAATTGTTAGCCAAAGTTTTGGCACGTCGGCTGGACAGGTACCTACCTGCGTTAGTCGACAAAGATCAAGCGGCCTTTGTACAAGGCCGATCGATCTTCGATAATATCGTGATGACAATTGAAGCCTTGGAGATAGTGGGGAACACAAATGTCAATACCTCGATCCTTATACTCGATTCGGAAAAAGCATACGATCGGGTAAATTGGACGTATGCACTCACCACGCTGAGACATGTGGGATTTGGGGAAAACTTGTGTAACAGGATTGTCGCTCTTTATTCTCTTTCCACGGCATCAGTAATGGTAAATGGACACCTCTCTGAATCCTTTGCCTTAACTAGATCTTTGAGACAAGGCTGTCCCCCGACTCCTCTTCTGTTTGTGCTTCAAATAGAGAATCTGTTATGCAATATCAGGGGGAACCCACGTATCAAAGTTCTTACTACAAGAATGTCCCATTGCCAAGTTAAAGCCCTAGCGGATGACCTATTTGCCATTTCTAAGAACACGCTATCTTCTATGCCAGCCTTAAAACAGTGCATTGATGAATATTCGTCCCTTTCTGAAGCGTCTGTCAATTGGTAAAAGTCTGTGTTTTTTCTTCCGGACTCCTTAACACCAATGGTAAACTAGGGAATGAAGCGCATACTTGCGAGAGATTCGGAGAGATTTATAGGGGTGCAGGTATCTCTACTTACGTGTACAATGGATCAGGAAGGCATCGTACTGCAAAGAATCCTGCAGAGAGCCTCCATTTGGGGAAAAGCCCCACACCTTTCTCTGATAGGCCGTGCAATGGTGATCAATGGAGCCTTGTTCGCCTTACTGTGATTTGTGACAGCAGTAAGGCCCCTAGGAAAACCTTTGTGTACAGCTATCCGCAAAAGAGCGGCCAGGTTTATATGGAATCCGTATGCTGGGGACAACGATGACTTTTTGTCAAAGGTAGCTTGGGATGGGGGGTCTGGGAATGATTGACCCATATCGTAAGAGCCTCGCCATGTTGGCCTGCTGGGTCACTCAGGCGATCATGTCTCCTGAAGAAACCCATTGGATCTCCATGGATGAATCCATTATGTCAATGGAATGAAATTTGGCGAGACCATCGAATGCATGGACTTGCTTATTACTCCTCTCTTATAAGAACAGATTAATTGGTTCGGACCTATGGAAACCTATCATACGAGCCTGGAAAAAGGTACAGCCAAATACGTGGCTACAACCTATTACAAAAACCGAAATCTTGTTGCAACCTCTGTTCGAAAATCCGTCTATTAGGAAATCCGACAACAGCTGGTTTGCAGCAGACTCAACAAATGCTAGCTTCGAACTCTGCTGGATTGAGAGAGGATTACTAAGGATAGCCGATATTTGGAACGCTCTTGAGAACAGATGGCTGCTACCATCGGAACTTAGAACCCAATTGGGGGCGGTACGGCATGTCGAAGAACGCAGGGAAGACCTTATCAACACGATTCCAGACTAATGAAAATTTCTTTTAAGTCCGGAAGGGGTAGACCCTTCCGGGACTTGGTATACTAGCCAGGATCCAACCACCATAAATTCTTTCTGGAAACCGGAGCATATTGACTGTGACGGAAAGAGATCCTTCCAACTCTGGACTGGGGTACAAAGTGACCACCCTAGTCAACTGGTGCTACAAATAAATGTCACTTACCCCCCTCTTACTGCAGGCCTGACCCAAATCCGGGTGCGGCAATTCTGCGATGAGGACGGAAACTGAACCTGTAATGTATGTGCATATGGACTCCTAATCTCCAGCCTCCGCCTAGATCCTAAAATGTGGGGCTGGAAAGGGGAAGGCCCAAAAGGGGAAGTTCTCCCCCTTTCATCGTACTCTGCAGATTTGGGATATAAGTTTCAGACCCCTGCTCGTACTCCGCTTAATGTTGCCACAACAAGATGGTGTCAGGTTCTGGACTGTGACTATCCCACAGTCGAGAAAGCCTTGACCCGATGTTGGGGACAACTGGCCAAGGCTTCGAACCTAAGACTGACAGTTAACCCATGGCTGCTCTCCTTATTGGCCACTCCCTCGGCAGTAAACCTAGTGCAACTTGGAATGAACGTGGAAATGACTTGTAAAAGATGTAGCTGGGCATATGAGTCCACCACGCATCTGTGGTATGATTGCCCAGCCTCGAAGCGGGTTTGGGACTGGTGGCAGAATTTCTGGTCTGAACTCACTGATAATTGTCTGGACTGGAATCGAATCTGGGTAGTGTTGGGTGGAATTCCGAACTCTTTGAATCCCAGGCAAGAATGGGGTTACATTGCCCAAGTGGTTCATGCGATTGGCTGTGAGGTCATTTGGAAAGAGAGGAACCTACGAATATTCGACAACAAGGAGATGACAAACAAGGAGATTAGAGGAATGTTCAAAATGTCATTGAGAAAGATTATTTAGGCAGATTGGATGAGGAAGGGACAGGGTTGCTCGACTACGTGGTTCGAGGACACCTGGGGTAGTGAAGGCAAGCTGGTGAAGTTGGAATCAGGGAAGTTAGTATGGAATAGCTGGTTTAGTAAGATCTGAACCTGGGTTGCTCGGTTCCCTAAAATCCGCAGGAGGATGGCAGCTGGGTTGAGAATAGAGGCGAGAGCACCACACCAGTCTTTGTGAGTCCCTGTGGGGTCCACCCGTTGATGTTAGACGGAGTACCGGTTTATTCGGAGCAGGATAGGTTGGAGGTTAGGATAGTTCTGGTTTAGGAGGATTGGTCAACCCGTTGCTATTAGACGGAAGATTTTGTTAGGTAGGAGTAGGAGGGGGGGTAGGTAGGTTTGGTTTTTGGGTTTGGTTCTTGGGGTTGGGTTTGTCTTCCTTTCCAGGAGCAGGGTAGCAGGACATAGGCCTGTGTTTTGGTCAATTTGTTCCTCGAGTTTCCTAGGCTCCTAAGTCTCTTGGTTGAAGTGGTCCCGAGCAAGTGTGGTCGCGAGCAAGTGTGGTCCCGAGCAAGTGCTTGTAAGCGAAACTGGGTAATGCTCCCAGATGTTACTCCGGGGCAAGGTCCCACTTGCGCAAATTAGGAGATTTCGGCCGTTGATCTTTGCTATCTACGGTCAGTATCTCTTAAGTCATGCAAGTGGGACCTAGCCCCCGGGTTGAATTGTGAGGTCCCCGGCCTCAAGTGTTACTTGTGGTAATAAGAAGAGACAATTAAAAAAAAAAAAAAAAAAAAAAGTCGGGCGCGAAAAAGGGGCCGGGCCCTAGCAAATGTCAGATGGAAAATGTTGGGCGGGAAAGGGGCCGGTCACCTCGATGAGCAGAACGGGGGCGTGGTCCCACAACCGGTAGCGGTCGGATCGAATGCCTGAATCTGGAGGAGTTTATGGAGATGTGCAGGAAATCGAGATTGAACTGCTTTTCTGCATTTCTGCTTAAAACACATCCAGATTCGGGAGCTCGATCCTATCCTTTTTGCTACTAGTGGGACCTCAGCCCGGGGGCTAGGTCCCACTTGCACGAATTAAGAGATACCTAGCGTAGATAGCCATGATCAACGGCCCAAATCTCCTAATCTCCGCAAGTGGGACCTTGCCCCGGGCGAGAGGGTCGAGTCGGGCACGCGGCGGCGGGCGGCGGGCGGCGGTGCACGTGCGGTCCAAGGGCCTCCTCGCACTACCCGCCATCCGCCAACATTTTGGTTGCATGTTTGGACATCATGATGTCCACATGCATTCGCAATCTTCCCGGATGGCGAGTAGTGCAACCAGGGTCGAAGTGGGAACGAACGAGCGAAGTGTGCCATTGCAAGCGGCGTGTTGATCGAGTGGCACGCTCGCTCCGTGATCGTTTGCTGGTGGTGTCGAATGCTGCAGAGGGGAGAGCGGCGGCACAAGACGAATGCGACTCGGCGGGAAGGGAAAAGGAAAGGAGGAGTGAAGAGGGCGAAGGAGGCGAAGAAGGGCGGTAGCATTATGCCGAATTCATCGTGGATTCGTGGGTGATAAGAAGCGGCCTGCAGCTGTGGAAGAGGGACGGGGAGAAAGAAAGCGGGAGCGTTGTTGAAAGCAAAGCGAAAGAGAGAGCAGATGGGAGGACGGATGGGGAAGCGGATAGGAGAGAAGGAGGAGAAAGCAGACAGAGAGTGAAAGACAATGGGAAGGGGGAGTATCTACAACAAATAGTGAGCACGCGAGCCGAATCGAGGACAAATGGCGGATCAAGGTAAGGATGCTCTCTCTCTCTCTCTCTCTCTCTCTCTCTCTCTCTCTCTCTCTCTCTCTCTCTCTCTCTCTCTCTCTCTCTGTGTGTCTGCATCGACGTTGCCGTGGCGATTCCGATTCTCCCTCTCTCTCTCTCTCTCTCTGTCTGCATCGACGTTGCCGTGGCGATTCCGATTCTCCCTCTCTCTGTCTGTGTCTGCATCGACGTTGCCGTGGCGATTCTCTCTCTCTCTCTCTCTCTCTCTCTCTCTCTCTCTCTCTCTCTCTCTGTGTGTCTGCATCGACGTTGCCGTGGCGATTCCGATTCTCC